GCTGTTATTGGAACTGAATTCGAAAGAAAACTGAAAGCATGGCCAAAGATTGGTTCGTACGACGCATCAGCACTAGAGGAGTTCGGTGACTTTCTTTACCAAGTTGAAATTGCAAGCGAGCACATTGAAAGTCTCAAGGTTTTCAACTACTCATCTCAAATGTTGCCACTCATAGACAAGCTACCTTCATGGTTCAAGTCAAAATGGTCTGAAAGGGTACTGAGATTACAGAAAGAGAAAGGAAGAGACTCGTATCCATCTTTCAAGGAATTTGTCACTGAGGTACGACATCACGCTCAACGAATGAACATACCTCAACTCTCGCACAATTCAGAAGTTACAAAGGACACTAGAAGAACATTTCTACCGCTAAGACCTCAAAGTCGCACACGAAGACCACCAGCTCAACATGCGTCTTTTGCAACATTTGCATCAAGCTCAGAACAAAGGCCTCAACCTTCACAGACACCACCCCAAAAGGGACCAGATCCAACTACGAGCAACCAACAACGAAAGTATTGTTTCTACCATAATCTGAGTAGTCATTCGACACACGAATGTGAACACTTAGCAAAGCTAAGCTTCGAAGAAAAGAAACAATTATTAAGATCAAGAAATGTGTGTTTCAACTGTCTGATGTCTGATAAGCACGTGGCAAGACAATGTAAACAACCAAAGTCTGAATGTAAAGTTTGCAATGGAAAGCACGCTACGATGCTCCATGATCCTTCAAGGCACGCAGAGAAGAACGAAACATCTACCACTTCATTCTGTTCCCAAGTTTGCGGTGAGAACCATCCAATCAAATCGTGCGCAAGGATAGTTCTTCTTCAAGTTTTCCATCAAGATCATCCTGAACAACGAGTTCCGACATATGCATTACTAGATGACCAATCTACTGACGTTTTTGTTACAAACACTCTGTTGGACCAGCTAAAGGTCGAACTAGAGAACGTTACAATTAAAATCGACACCATTGTCGGCACGAATAGCGTTAGATCAAAGAAAGTTAACGGTCTGAGGATACAAGACGTCGATGGTCTACAAAAGCCAATCAGGATTCAACTCGCTTACTCCCGCAACTGTATTCCAGCCGATAAATGTAACATCGCAACACCCAATGTTGCAAAACATTGGAAACACTTGAACTGTATCTCTAATCAACTGAGATATTCTTCTGACGTAGAGATCGGAATGCTAATAGGAAGGAACGTCCCAACTGCCTTTCAGCCCTTGGAAATTATCTATGGCGATGAAAACGAGCCATGGGCTGAAAGATACAAATTTGGCTGGACGATCATCGGTCCAGTGTGTCGAGACAACAACGAAGAAGACAAAGTGACGGTCAACAGTATCAATGTAATGACAGCAACAGACACCGATACTACAGACGCTGAAGGATTTCCAGTCACACCACGAGGTCGAAGCAAGGATGTAACCAGTCCACAGCAGATTCAAGATATGATGCAACTAGACTACAGCGAACTACACTACAGCCGCTCCACAAAGGACTCCGAGTTTACAGAATCGACGGTTCAACCGCCTACTCGAAGAAGGTATTCATGTCAACCAAAAGGGAAACTGGGAAATGCCTCTACCATTCAAGACCGATGACGTCACTATGCCSAACAAMAGAGCTCAGTGTATCAAACGCCTCTTATCGCTCAAGTCAAAGCTTCTCAGAAAAGATCAAGTACGCAAAGATTACTTTGAATTCATTCAGAAGATYCTAGACAAAGGTCATGCAAGTCGTGTGCCAACAGAAGAACTAAAGACCCCTCCTGGTAAAGTTTGGTACCTTCCACATTTCSAAGTCTATCACCCAAAGAAGCCACAGCAAATAAGAGTCGTCTTTGATTGTAGCGCCATCTTCGAGAGCAACTCTTTGAATCAAAATCTTCTCCAGGGACCTGATCAACTCAACAACCTCATTGGTGTTCTAACTCGCTTCAGGAAAGAACAGACGGCTGTGATCTGCGATATCGAACAAATGTTCCACAGCTTTTACGTTAATACGGAACACAGAGACTACCTTCGATTCTTATGGTATGAAGACAACAATCTAGATGGTCTAATTGTGGAGTACAGGATGAATGTGCACCTATTCGGTGCCACCCCATCACCGGGAGTAGCTAACTTTGGTCTCAGAAAGACGGCTCAAGTCAACGCTGATGASTACGGCGATCAAGCTACAACCTTTCTACAAAAGGAGTTCTACGTTGATGACGGTCTTAAGTCCTTCCCCACTTCAGACGAAGCGATCAAAACTATCAAAGATGCTCAAGCAATATGTGCATCAAGAAATCTCCGCTTGCACAAGTTTGCCAGTAACGACAAGACTGTMCTAGAGAATTTACCTGCAGAAGATCGAGCGAAAGACCTGAAGGAACTTGACTTAAGATACGACACTTTACCCATACAAAGATCCCTTGGTACGTACTGGTCAATCGAAGYAGACACGCTCGGCTTCAGAATCACAATGAAAGACACCCCTGTACTCGTCGAGGTATATTATCTACAGTAAGCTCAATATATGACCCCCTCGGCGTGGTAGCTCCTGTCATACTCCGAGGAAAACAGATTCTGCAAGATCTGTGTCGTGACAAATTCGAGTGGGATCAACCCGTACCAGACGACATCTACTCTCGATGGGAAAGATGGAGATCAGACCTACCCCTTCTAGAGAAAGTAGAAATCAACAGATGTATCAAGCCCGCTGGCTTCGGTGAACCAACTTCAGTCCAGATACATAACTTTTCAGATGMCAGTGAAGTAGGATTGGGTGAAGTATCCTATYTACGCCTTGAGAACGCRAAAGGCGAGCTCAGTGTTGCCTTCCTCATGGGTAAAGCAAGAGTAGCACCAATAAAGCCCATCTCCATACCACGCAAAGAACTCACTGCAGCAGTCATATCTGTTAATGTCAGCTCAATGCTCTCAAAGGAACTTGATTACAAAGACATCGAAGAAGTCTTCTACACAGATTCAGCTGCCGTCTTAGGATACATAAATAACGACGCCAAACGCTTCCATACTTATGTTGGTAATCGCGTACAACACATTCGTGACCGATCAAGACCTGACCAATGGCACCACGTGCCCGGTAAAGAAAACCCCGCCGACGAGGCTTCTCGCGGTTTATACGCCAAACAACTGACTCAGGATGCAAGATGGCTACGAGGTCCAGACTTCTTGTGGCAACATGAAGCCCCACAAGAGATTGAAGTGAAGGATATCGACCCTGACGACCCGGAAGTCAAAAGAATGAAAGTATTCGCTACGACTTCNAATGGTTTGAGGAGATTCACTTGTCGTAGAGGAAAGGTGCGTCAACTATATTCTGATCAAGGAACTAACTTTATCGGCGCCAAGAATGAATTTCAGTCTACATTAGATGAAAATGCGGTCAAGAGTTTCTTATTGAAGAATGACTGTGATCTTATCAAGTTTAAATTCAATGTACCCAGTGCCTCACACATGGGAGGCACCTGGGAGAGACAGATACGCACGGTGCGTACTGTTCTCTCCAGTCTTCTGAAAACACAAGGAACTCAACTTGACGACGAAGGTCTGCGCACCCTGTTTGTTGAAACTGAGAACATCGTAAATAGTCGTCCTCTTACAGTACAGAACATGAGTGAACCAGACAGCGAAGAAGTAATCAGCCCGAATTACTTACTCACACTGAAATCAAGAACATTGCAGCCGCCACCAGGCGTATTCTTACCACCTGATGTGTATTCACGAAAAAGATGGAGAAGAGTACAAKGTYTRTCGGAACAGTTTTGGAGAACTTGGCATAAAGAATATTGTCACCTTCTTACTAAAAGACAGAAGTGGATCAAGCCTGAGAGGAACAGTAAAGTCGGAGACATAGTTCTACTTTGTGACGAAGATTTACCTAGAATCAGTTGGCCACTCGCAAAGATTGTTAAGGTTTATACAAGCACCGATGGCTTAGTTCGCAAGGTTCAGATATTGCTAACACGCAACAATCGAAGATCATATTTGTACAGACCCATTCACAAGCTGATACTCATTCAAKAAGCTTCACCGGGATAGTTCCCCGACGAGGAGCCATAAACACTTTATTGACATTAGTTATTAACATTTAGTATCGTTTTTTGTTATTGTTCATACATTCTCATGTCTGGGGGAGCCATGTAGCATAACTATCGTACGGTTTCCCTGTGTTATATTTTGTCAAGTTGCATTGTGAGACGGCAGGCACGCGGTCCCAAAAATTTCTCGACGAGAAAGGTCGAATAAAGTTATTGTCATCAGGAATTCAGTCTAGTTTGCTTTCTCCGTTCGAGCCAAGGACCCAGAGAGCTAGGGCACTCGCCCAAAGTGGCTCCCAGCAGCTACAATGATAGAGCAATTAAGAACATGGTCATTAAACATGGCCTTCATTACTGATTATAGTAAAGACTCTTTTTTATTATACCACATTTATGTTTTTTATTAAAACCATGACCACGCCGGCCTCTAGGGACAACCAATTTTTGCCTTGCTCCTTTTTTATTGTAACTTTTTCATAGTGACGATCACTAGCTAAAAATTTGTAATGATCCCCATTTTCCTGCTGAGGAATTTTTCCATTATTTTATATTTACCTTGACCAGTAGTATACCCATCGTAACACCGACCAGATAAAAAAAGAACATTATACAGAATGATATCTTCCTGCTCTGGGCTTGGATAGCCAATGACCAATACCTGAAGGGGTAAAAAATAATATTCCAAATAGTGTAAGTTTAATATATAGTCACGTTTCTTTGAATCTTTACCTGGAATGGCTTGTCATATGTTAGGCTTATTTTGATTTTCTTTACAGCTTTTCCTGTATTATTGGTTTCCCATAGTTTAAGGAAAACAAAAGGATTTCTTTTTTTTAACAAAACAATCGCTAACTTGCTGGTAGCGTTGCTCATGCTGTAGGTGAGAGTCATGCAAGATGGTCCAAGCAATCGAGGACTTATTAGAATCGCTTTGGTTTTATTTTCAGAACTTTCATTGCCAGCTGATGTATGTATATACGACGGCAAATTTGGATCTGAGAAATAAACGATCAAACATGAGACACTGTATAAATTATTTGTCAAAATACTAATATTTTTCATAAGAAAAATCTTAAAACTCTACATGTCGATAACCTGTTATTCCTTTAAAATCGGCCTTTTTGTTTCTTGTTTTCCACAAAAGACCATCCTGCACCATTAGATTCACGGCTGTTCGCCACCCACAACTTGTCCCTTTGAAGCTGCAATTTGCTGTAAAAGTTTACAATTCATATAAGGATAAAATATTTTTCTAGAGAGGAATTACCTCTTTGTCACCAGGGGTAATTTTACCTGTTGATATTTCAGATCTTGCCGGGTCTAAATAGCTGATATTATGGAAGCTGTGATTGGTTTTGCAGACTGACACGTAGTCGTCGAGAAGTAAGGATCCCAAGGCAATGCTCCAGTTGTCTGTAGTCTTATTGGAGCTGAACACAGCCTCAAACGAAACCTTCAAAATATCATGTCATTTAAAAGAATAATCGTTTTGATCCTAACAGGTTATATATTTTTCATTCTGACTTGAGCAAGTTTCGAAACAGAGTTTGATTGTTTCCCTTACAAACTATGCTGGAACTTTCTTTATTCAGAAATTTTAGATTGAGAGTATACTATATATCACCTTATAATCTCCATCGTATTCCAGTGCCAAGCACACGTTTCTCCAAAGGTTATTACTCTGGTCACCATATTTAAACCACACAGCTTCTTTGATGCTGTTATTACTTCTAGTAACAATAGCAGCTACAGTGTCTACGCCTCCACCATACATTTGGTAACGAAACATCATGGATTTATGACCCTTTATCACTGGACTTTTCAAAATGGCCTTTTCATCGTAAAGAACGTTTTTCCTTGAATTTATCAAAACGCCATATCCTGCCGTTCAATTGATAACAGCCAGGAAATAAGAAAAATGATAATCATTGGGATTTGGTAGTTGTGCAGCGGATTCAGAGGACGAGGGTCTCAGATTAGCATTAAAAGAAATTAAAAAGAATCCATTCAACCTGAAGCACTTCATCAGAGGAAGGGTAAAGCAAATCAAATATCAAATAACTACGACCCTCCCCTTAGCCTGTATACAAAAAAACCTCTCCCCGATTTTTTTGGAGAGGTAAGAAACGGATGTACACAGGATATCCTCTCCTGGACCGCTTTTTTACACCCTTTTTCGATATTTACCCAAGTAAAATTTATAATCCACTAAAATGTAAAGTTGATCCATCGAAGCATGGAAGAATAAGCTGACAAGCATGTTGATATAGGAGTTTATCATGCTAGATATTATAATTGAACCACAAAATTACTCGTACGAAACAGCATCACATCTCCGTTTGCGTGAAGAATAATTTGGAAATCATTTAAAGGCCCATTTTGCACCATTATGCTTTGCGAGCCTCTGTTATTGTTATGATTTACACCAAAATACTTCTAGTATCCAAAGATCACCATATATAAAACGAAGTAAGATGGTTGAAAACTCTAATATTATCGTTTAAAGTGCTTAGAAAAGTGAGATGGTCAAAGATTCGAAACGCACAGTATAATTTATACACTTTCGGTAAACTGAAAATCGCCGCCCGAGGGCCCCAAAGCATAATGGTGCACACTGGGCCTTTAATGGCTTACCTTTAATCAGATCCCATTTTATATCACCTTCATTGATGATCCAGTTGCAGAACCATTCATGATAAAATATGCAATCTAGGAGAAATTGCAATTGATTAATTGTTCATCATTTTCGAGTAAGCCTTTTTTATTCTTTGATCGTAATTTTACTAATCTGGAAATGAACAATTTTAACCCCAAAAGGATTCAACGCCGTGTGCGTGCCTATAGCATATTATTTTTCCTGGTTGTAGTTACAGAGAGAGGTTAGCCAAATCTGCTCTTCCAACTCTTTTCAACAGAAAGGAATCGTTATATTTTCAGTCCATCAATGACACCGAACATAAATACTCCAGTTTCGAATTCAAAACGAATAACCGCTGTTTTATTTGACAGTATCATCCTATCTGGCAGGCCACGGCTATAACAGAGATCCTAGGGATATGCTGATTTTTTGACTCTCCCATTTCCAAAACTAATCGTATCTTTTAGTTCTTTAACGTTGTACGCCATAGGTTTTAATATTATGATGTATATAATGTATACAGTTATCTTAATGTTAAATACTTTTGTATCTTTATCTTTTGTCTCGTAATTCAATCGTAAGACTGAGAAGCGTTTTATCAATACCGGTCTAGTCTCTATCTATTTATTTATCTATTGAAATTCATGTTTCATTTCCTCAAGAGTTACCTGCTAGGCATTTATTTTGCCACCGCCTTTTAGTGTCGTTTACGAAAGAACCAATTCTATTCCCGACATTTCCAGAGTGTTGATTGCTAGTAGCAATGTCCCTGATTTGGTTTATGGTAACATCATATCCGAAATATACAGCATAAACGTAAAGAATTACTCCTTTGTTTTTCAATGACTTGGATGCCCTTGAGAGGTCATTTAAAGAACTTTGACTCTTTCCTGCAAGCACTATGACTGACTAGAAATTTAAAAAATAAGCTGCAAGTAAAACAACTTCAAAAATTTCAATTCTGAGCGGAGTCTATTATGGATGAGTTGTTGAAGATACGGGATAATTTTGGAATAGCTTGATAGTATAGTCATTGTGCTCAGAAGGTTTTTCTTTCTTGAAATCATACCTTTCGAACATCTTTTCTCATTCCGGCTGAAGGTGCAAAGACGTCTTGACTAGCAAGCCTCAGAGCTTTATCGAGAAAACTACTGCGACCTTGCTGCCATTTCATTGCTCTTATCAATCGAATGTATCCCTTGACTGTTATTTCAAATCCTTGTAGGGTGTTAAACTTGCAAGTTATTGTAGCATTTGCACTGTACGCAATGATTGCCAAATGGTTCCCATCGACACCAACAGTCAGCTCATTTATTACGTCTATCAGCAGGTCCTGCATTTTCTTCCAGTCCACATTTCTTGATGACTCCACAAGGAAAGCGATGTCCTCTTTTGTATTGCATTTCACTGGAATAAAGGATAAGAGTAACCAAATGAAAACGGCTCTCTTGCCTAAATTTGGACTAATCATGTTCACTGTTGCCCATTGCGCATGCAATACGAAGACAATTAATCTATATACATGAAATATTTTGTATGTGCACCCCCGTTTTCTAATGTTTTTAGCTTGATCTACAACTGGCATAGACCTAACGTATGTAGTATGTGTATTACCTGTGGGAGTAGTGGCATGGCAAGCTGTCAATATTGCGACCAAAATGGCAACGTATATCGAACCTACCATATTCTCTAAAAAAAAACACACAACTCATGACTTTTATATAGTAGACTTACAGCCAAACCTACTGAAGCGTTCCTATCGAGGTTGGAAGCCTCGATTTATTATTCCAAATTTGGTTCCAAATTTATATTTAAACTTGCAAAAACAAAACCGACAATGTAAATTTCAAATCTGACGTCGATTTGAACCTCG